CGAAAAGTCAACCAGAGGTCTCATTCAGGGACCCCGGCCCGCAAGACCGGACACTCAAATAACAGCCAGAGGGCCCTGAGCGCTGATCAGGGGCCTACCGGGCCGGTAAAGGCCATATTTCGGTCGGACGCCACCAATGACGCACAGCTCTGTTTGAGCATGGACCTCAGGGCCCACTTCCCAAGTAGGGACAACGCTGGAGCCGGCGGTTTACATTGCTCGGGGCCCCCAACCCCTAATAGGGGCCCTGTATTGCCCCGAGTCGATCTAGGGAAGTGTTTAATGAGGCCTGAAGAGGAGCCCGGGCAGCCCATCGAAACCGACAATCAAAGGCCCAGCTGGAAGACATAAGGGTCCGAAGGACTGGCTGCAAGTCACATCAATAATCGTGATCCGTAGGGTCGTGACCTGAAATATCCGTCAGAGACCATGATGCACCGTTTTAGGAACCCACGCAAAATCTGGGTGTATAGGTCGGTCAGAGACCACGAACAGCAAACAGTCGGCTCCATGTCCGTCTGGGCTCCTGAGACCCATTTCCCGAGCAGAAACGAGACCGGGTCCGCGATTTACAATGCTTGGGATCCCTGACACAATGAGGGGCTCCTGTGTCGGTTGGAGGTCGGGCTCCTGTATCGGTTCGACAGTGCCGAACAGGGGTCCTGTGGCGGCAGGCGGCCCCGATTCAGAGCGGTGTTTGAGGGGGCCCGAAAAGGGGCCGAAGGGTCTTTCGAGACCAAAGATCAAATGTCCGATGGTATGGTCGAAGGGTCCGAAGGACTGGCTGTAGGTCACATTAAGGACCCAAGCCCATAGCCCATAGCCCATGCCCATGTTCTCAAATGTCAGTAAGAGGATCTCTTCCAAAGATGGGTACCCCTGCGGCAGTGTTCCTCTATTTCGGCCAGAGATCACGAGCAACAGTCAGCTCCGTGTTGTTCTGAGCTCGGGGGGCCCGTTTCCCAAGCAGGGATAAAGCCGGGCCCGTGATGTACATCGATCGGACTCCTGTATCGTTCAAGGCCACACAATACCTAACAGGGCATTCTGCGTCGACAAGCGACATCGAGTCGGTCAGGGGAAGATTTGTTCAACAGGGGTAGGGACGCGAGCCTGAACAGCAGAGGGTCTCTTGCGTTAGTCGGGCCTTCTGACAAGCGAAGAAAACATAAAAATTATGATGAGTGCTCACGTTGATGTAATGAAAGAGTCGTGAGCCAGGCAGGGCCCCCAGTACCGAACGGTGGGCTCTCCAGCCTTTTCCAGCATGGGCCCGTTAAGCCCGACTGGAGTACATCTGCCAGTTATTTGATCACCTGCGGTGGGCAGGCATGTTGTTTCGTTAATGACGGTTCATGCATCGATCCGGGGTCAACTACGCGGGTCAGAAGGACTCCGCGTCAGGGAGCGGACCGATATGATATGATATATCCCTCTAAGGGCGTCCGGATCGGCCAGGGGATGCCGCTCCGTGTCGCCAGAATGACGGCCGGAAAACAACCGCGGTGCGACAGAATGGCCCTTCAGCTCTTGACCGGGAACAACAATGTGCCCCGTAGTGTTATACCCAAGGGAGCCCCTTTATCGGAAAGAATAAAGGGTTTCATTATTGTTGAATGGCGTGGGTCGAAATGAGTACGAAGCGTATAAGCGTGCAAGGTTATCCCATGTTTCCCTACGAATGTTCATTATTTTGCAGAATCGACTAGTGAAGCAAATATCATCAAACTATTTGAGCCTGCGCGCCCGGTGCCGACAGTGTAGTGGTTCACGCGCCTGCGTTAGCCACTGCACGTCTGGGAAGCCACAGGTATGGGGTTTGATTCCCCACGATGCCCGTCCTTCCCGCCAGGGCGAGAGGCAGGCGGCGCGATACAGCCCCAGCAGCCGAGTACGTCATGGGGCCCCAATGACTCGCCCGTTATATTGGGGAGCAAGGATAGCAATGGTTTGGGTCGTCGCTTTCGTAAAGCCGACCGGCGTTGCCCGCTGCAGGTAACGCCAGGGGACGGGCGCCGAGCGCGCAATAATAACCACGGTAAAATAATGCTTCTGAATGTCTTTTAAAACCAATTCATACGGTCCAGGAATTACATTGGGCGATTTTGTTTACAACTATGAGGATGTCCTCTCAACAGCTTAACAGTTATAGCAACACAAGTCTAAAATTTACCTCTACTATTCCAGTTCCACCACCAGATTCCAGCACTACTTCGCGGTACTGTAAAAACTAATACGTTATTGTCATCAATCTTAAAACCACGCAGGTGATATATACGCCCTGAATATCTTTTAAAGATACGATTTGGTGTCCAAAAGCTCTCAAAGGTGCTTTTCAGATGTGTCACCATTTCCGCCCACCTGTTGACCACGGCCTAACATAAGTCGCGGGGCCAACGCTGCATGGCCTGCGGAGGCGGCAAGGCCTGGCGTGCAGTTTTTATTTCCAAGATATGCGAGCGCGCATGCTCATAACTAAGTTACATAATTTGTACCACTTACCAGTTCTGACTGAATGTTGAAGATATTCAGACAGTTAATCCAAATTGTTGACCATTTTGATTTATAATCAACATTTGCGGAAGCCTTGTCATTTCTGTAAAATCCAGATACAAATTCTGACGAGTCATTTAACGCGTAATTTTGTCAGTTTATTCACTATAAGCTTGAGGAAGAATTGATCTCGGGGTAGCGCCTGGCCTATATTCCAGTTATAGAAGGCTTAAGTATGTACTGCATATATATATATATATATATATATATATACATGTATAAATGTACAGAAATACATATATATATACATATATATATATATATATATCTCTCTCTCTCTCTCTCTCTCTCTCTCTCTCTCCTCTCTCTCTCTCTCTCTCTCTCTCTCTCTCTCTCTCTTCTCTCTCTCTCTCTCTCTCTCTCTCTCTCTCTCTCCCTTTTCTTCTCTCTCTCTCTCTCCCCTCTTCTCTCTCTATCTATATCTCTCTCTCTCTCTCTCTCTATATATCTAGTTTCTTCTCTCGTAGTCTCACTCCTCTCTCTCAGTCTCTCGCTCTCCCTACTCTCCTCTCTTTCTCTCTCTGGGAAAAAGCACATCCTCAATAACAAATGGGTATATCCGGCGTTTTTTTTGGGGTCCTTTTACCAACAGGGGGCACTTTGTCAAGCTGTGCCCCCTAACCAAGGCCCTGGCTGCGCCCCTGGCAGGCACTCATGGTCGCAGAGCTGTTGTCTACATTATCTAGTCTCTTCGACGCTTGTCATGTATTTTTAATGAACTGAAAACAGATTTGTTGGTCTATGAAATTAGACGTCATTAGCCTTGCAAACACGATAAGGGGGGTGGTTATGCGCGTCGCCACCCGTTCATCTAGCCTCTCCACTATTGGCAACGTAGTCGTTGGCCTTGGTTGGCCTCTCACACATGACCCTGAATTCGCTACATGGCTGTTTTAAAATCTCATTATGCACTACAGTGATATCACAACATTTTTTCAATGGAGTATTCAGATCTTGCGCCTAAAAGTACGTAATAGAACTACCCAGTTTTAACCCAGCATGTGTACTGCAGAAGGTCCCCTTCGAGGCAGGTGATGGCCCCAGCCAAGATCAGGTGCTCGCGGTCATATGATGGGCATGCATGTAAGTCAGTACTCTTTCCTCGTATGTTAACACCAAAACTACACAAAACTACAAATCCGCATTATTTTCGAAAAACACATAAAAGATTAACTTTGCTTCTGGTCAAGGGCTTTGCATTTCCGTGACAACCGAAAGTGAGCCAACTGTTGGCATTGTTATGTTCTTTTACCATAGAAAGTTTGAGCAATAACAAATGACTCGCGACAAGTTAAGTGCAGTCAAAGTTTTGTACAGGCTGACCTGACGTAGCTTACGGGTCTTGATACATCAAAACTTCAGATTTAAAGAAAACATGCCGAACTGATAGCTGAATTGGTACTATGCATTGCGCTTTGCTGCAAGCGTTCGTATTTGACCTGTACTGAAAAAAAAACACGGGAGCAAAGTCAACTTTCCCCGGTCGGGCGCGGCTCAACTTACAGCTGTATGAGCTGCTGAAGGGTTCAACTGACGAGGAACGACATTGTACGCTCAGCACCTTATTAGTGATTCGCGTTTTCAGCACTGAAAAGGCGTTTCCACACTTTTCTATTTCAGATGTGAACAAACAGCTCACTTTCACACACCTTTCTGGCATACGCCTTTATTACACAATGCGTGCTAGAAGCGCGAAACATACAAGGCGATGTACGGTGCATCAAGCGGCGGTCTGACGTCAATGCCACACCCGTGTGACGTCATTGTTGGGCCATTCCGGCATGTTGCAATGTCTGATATGCGTCGATGCCAGTCTGTCATAGGCATGACGTCAGCCTGACGCGTGTGACGTCATTGTGACGTCAGTGTGACGCGTGACCGGCAGGATTGGCGGTCCGCAGGCGCAGCTCGTCAGCGCCTCGTACGCTCGGTTGCCTATCATCTGGACCGACATTGTGCCTACAAAAAGCAGATCGCGGGTGTGCCGCGAATACGACAGCGACAAGAACGGCCGCATCAAGTTCAGGATCCCCGGGCTCGACCTGGGTGTCGTCAATGTGAATGTGAATGTACGTGTCACGTGCGCTGTGTGCTATGGCCGTCAAACTGCGATACTATCAACATGGCAGTTAGCTAAATGACGCGTCCATGCTCCTCATTTCCCATCAAGACTGAATGGGCGCTGGTGTTGGTACTGTCGTGGGACATCGATGCCTCCATAACTCAATGCCGTGTCGCTATTCCGCCCAGGGTGATCAGGCTTAGGCCGTCATACATATCAGCCTGATGGATTATTTTCATCTTTAATTTCGTTAACAGTAGCTTTATACTTCCCGGATCACGTTCATCTTTATTTTCACTAGCTATTTTCTAGTTACGTTCTAACTATTTCACCAATTATTGGCCTTTGCCTGGTTTGCATGGGAAGCCATTTTATGGTTGTAGTGCTTGGATCATGGTAGCACACCAATCCACAGCATTACGGCTGAAGACAAGCCCAAAACTGGCAATCTTTTCATTGATGATTGGGACATTGAAAACCGCCATTTGGAGCCAGAGTTTGCAAAACATTTTTGGGAAAATGTCATTTTAAACTGCCGTGTAGGGTCAAATTCCTCTGGTACAGGACGGCCATTGACTCCAGAGATTTGGTCCCATCTCCCGCAACCAGTGTAACCACGTGAACTATAAGGTTGGAAGGTTTCACGGCCGCAACTGTGTTACAGGTGAAGGCACTGCGTGCAGGCATCAGGTCATCGACGGCCAGCAGCAGGCTGAAAATCTGGTTCTCTCCATCCAACTCATTTATGTCCATAGAAGTGGTGAAGACTCCTTTCGACTTGAAATGCAGTGGGTCCCTCGTCTTGAGGGTCAAGAGGACATTCGACATAGGAAATAGGCAACTTACGTATATGGTAAGCGGAGAGGCGAACTGGGCATAGTCCATATGTGAACATACGTGTATTTGAATAAGTCAATTTTGGATAATAGGCCGGTTTCAATATAAATATTACGATGTCAGGTAACGGAATCTTGAAGGAGTATGATATCTTTGTATGTGTTTTTGAGCGGAAATAACCATCCCGAAGACCTTTCGGTGCAGTTCGCAACCCTGCGCTTCTGGAGACCTAAACCGCTCTAGTTTCTGAGCTATAGGCCCGCGAAAGTGGGGAGAGTATTTCAAGGTCACCTTGGCATCCATGACGTCACAATAGCCTCATTCAAAACCTGCCATTTCATTGGGCGTGCGGCGATTAAGGCCACGAACAATACAATTTCAACATATAACGGCCATCAATGGCTCTCAATCTATGTTTTGCAAGACATGATTACGTAATCAAACAATGACGAAGTAAGGACCATATTTACCAACCAAAGAGCTTTGTTAAGAGCAGTCTTTTCCACTTAACAAGTATGCCAACGGTTAGAAGTGATCTTGTGTCATGCCTGATGCTTGGTTCAAGATCTTCAGATGTGGAACATTCCCTTAAAAGGAGGTGTTCAATAAATGAATATATTGAAGCAAGCAGCAGATATTACAAAATAAGCTCACATATAACTTTTGTGATGCTTTCAAGGGGAAAGACTGCTCGAGACAGACCAACTTCTCTATTTAGTAAAGATGCTCTCCAATATGTACTTGACTGATCGTCATCATACGTTGCAGAACATGGGTTGTGAGCCAATGGACGGCCGTCATACCTGGAAGTCGTGTTCACGAACGCCAGCTATGAAGAACTTGACGATTATGTTTTTATTGACATTGATTGCCGTATGGCCAATGGGGTGGCAGGATTACAATGGCATATTATTATGGTATGGGTGCTTGGGTGACCTTGAAATAGTGTGCCCGAAATACCCTGCACATATTCGCGAACGTGTAAATCAGATACTAAAGAGGCTTAGGTCTTGAGAAAGAGGGAGCTGCAAAGTGCACCGAATGATCTTTAAGATGGCTAGATCAGTTAATAAAATTCCTAACAGGTATGCAACACTCCTTTTAATTTCGTACAACCAAAGATCAATTCGGAAACCGTGACTCTGTTTTGGGAGACTTGCCACTCTTCAGGAGTCCCTTTTTTGCTAGAAATGACAAGCGGCATGCAAAAAACCCACACCCATATTTTTTCAAATTCGCGCTTTTGAGGAGACGTCAGTTAAGGGTCACTTAAGTAACTTATCGATTGACACAACTGCGTCGATCCCAAACTTGAGCGCAATCAAAATCTGGTTCAAACGTCCCTCTTTCCATCAATGCACATTTCATATTTGCGTTCAAGCTGAACGATCCCCATCCCCACCGCAGTCATGAAATACACTCGATATATATATATATATATATATATATATATATATATATATATATATATATATATGTATATATATATTTCTTGTAGCCTTTCCAGCGCCGATTTCATTGCACGCATTGTTGGTTGTACACAGCAGTAAATTCAGCCCTTATGACCAATTGGGCGTTTTTCGACGCTTGTTATGTTCCTGTTGTCGCTTTTTGGTCTGTGGATATAGAGTATTCCTAAAGTTCATCGGGTTTTCAACGCTTCGATCAGTTTCCACGCTCCTTTTCAAGACGACTCTTACACTATGAGCATTCATTCATGGACAGTACGTGCGTGAAAGTTGGGTTTTCAGCGTAATTCTACGAACCACACACTGAACGTCCTTGACAAAAGCAACATCTACATGCTGCATAATCTAATTAAAGACGCATTTCTGCGCGATTGTAAGTTTTTGCGCTTTCACCGTATCAAGCTAAAAGGTTTCTCGCACGGCGGCTTTCAATTATGGGAGGAGGGGGGGGGGGGGGGGAGGACTTCTCTGACTAGTCGTACATTGTACAGTGGTAGATGACTGAATATTCGTTTTGCTTGTTGATGCTGGTGTAACACGGAGCAATACGTATGTCGTTAACAGGTCCAAGGTTTCGGGTTGATGTTTCTTCAGCAGTTTTGAGTATCGCTACGTCCTAGCAGATTACTAACTGAAGACAAATACACTGAAGTCCAAGGTTAGCGATGACTATCATCTCAAGACCTATGATGCTTATGATGCAGGATACCGTGCTTTAATATTCTCTACAACGAGAAACGCCAACTAAACTACTCATTGTTTTTTATTAGCCATGCCACGCATATAAATCATCGACGTATGGCGTTCCCGCCATATTTGAGATCGAGGTAAAACGTGTCATATTTGCCTTCCAGCGACTCGGGGATGAGTACTTCAGCGCCCAGCGCCGCACCACCCTGTTCTTCACATGACCACTGATCCAGAAACTATCAGTGCAAAACAGTCGCAGCATTAAAAGCTAATGTAGCTTTGCAATAGGGTTTTGCGTGAAACGCGACCAAAATGACATGGCAGCAGGAAGCGGACGCAATTGGAACTTGCTATTTGCATTCTTTCTGGGGTCTCTTGCGCCTTGTGAGCGCATCGGAGGTGATCCTATAGCTTGGAGATTCCTAGGACCTTCCTAGAACCACCCCAGAACCTTGCTTCCTTTACCCGTAAACCGCTTTTGCAAGATTTTTGAACCTTTGCTACACTTTGCAACGTTCGTGTGAGCTCTTGTGCTTTGCGAAAAAGTGTAGGTGGTTGTGGCGCCCTACCTTGCTTCATTTATGCGCAAGCTATACTGCAATATTCGCCAACTTTAACAACTACGCAATTTGAGTATTAATCAAACTGGACATTTCCAACTAAGATCATAATGTAGTTTAAGGTAATCCTATTACCATTAAGGTGATCCTTTTATTAAGGTGATCCTATTATTAATACGAGGGTAAATTCACGATTTAGATGCGGGGATTGAGGGTTGTGGGATTATAGGTTTGGGGGATGGGATGTGACTGTGAGCAAAGCCTTTCGTTCTAGATCATGACGCGAGGCCAGATCATCCGTCAGAGCTACGTTGACTCCCGGGGGCTGATCAGAGTCCCCTTGGGTTTCGACGTGTCGCCGGTCTTTAAGGTTCTTGTCTACTTCGTCAACTCCCTGGGCGAGATCGTGTCGGACTCCAAGGCCTTCAAAGTAGCCAACTGCTTCCAGAGCCAGGTACGTAGTAGCATTTTTCTCAGTGTTCTTCACCGATAAAAACTTATTTATTTCCAGAGTATACTGTTAACAGGCTGGCTGCTGTAAACGGAAGTGAGTACTTAAGAATCGCGTTCGTTCGTTTCATGCTGAAATCCTTTGATTTCCTCGTCGTTGATCACAGCCCTCTCTCAAATCACGGTAACGCAGCGCTGCCGTTCCTCTTATGACCACTGTCCACCGGTGGCGCATCACTACTCGACCTTGACATCCCTCTGATCTTTATGGTAGCCACTAGCTCCATCGTCACGCTTCTACCATGTCGCTATCTTCCAGCGCTAATGGCTGCCTGCCCCGGTGGTGTGATTCGGTGGGGAGGTCAGTTGTGTCAAAGTGTGTTAACCCAATAGTGACCTCTGCCCTGTTCCAGGTCAGCGTGTCATGGAACAAGAAGCAGGTGAAGCCAGGGGAAACGGCCACATTTACTGTGCGCGGCGCGCCCAACTCTCTCTGTGGCGTCTGTAAGTATGTGATCAGGTCGGCGTCAGGTAGGCCTATTATTTGTGTTCAACGATATCGGTGCTACGCACAAAAATCATGTTTGAAAACTTATCATATGCCCGTCATTACTTCTGATGCAGAACTAGTACAACATTTACTAAAGCGCGTCATTGATTCTACTACCAATACGTATGCGCCACATTAGTGCCACGTAACAAAAATCGTACTTCAAAACCATGTATGTGCCATTTTTCTCTCCCAAAAAAATCTCCACGGTGTTTATCTACATGCAAAAGTACTTATATTGCCGATACCTATAAGCGGCATTAGTGCTACATGCTAAACTTTACAACTCAACTTTCATACTCGTCATCATTTTACTGCAAGACCGTTTACAGTCGTTATTTCTACGTGGCATTATCTGCTGCCAGAGGCGCGGGTCTGATTCCCGCGATACCCGCCTCTTCTGTCGGGTGAAAGACAGGCTACACCTGTCTTTGTCAAACGTCAGTTCAGCGGGTCGCAAAGCCCAAGTGATGGCATGGTACTTGTACTGCAAAGCCCAAGTGATGGCATGGTACTTCTACCGCAAAACCCAAGTGATGGCGCGGTACTTGTACTGCAAAGCCCCAGTGATGGCATGGTACCTCTACTGCAAGGAAGCATGCATGACACTCATGCTATACGACAAAATTTTTGCTTCAGAAACTTTTGCCCGTCGTTACTTGTACGCAAAAACTGGTGCGATTTTGCTTTAACAAAACATTTCGTCTGCTGCAAACCTTTAAATGTGACATTAGTCCCGTACAAAAGACGTTATCCCTTGCAAATGAAGACTGCCATTGCTTCCACTCATAGAGCTGCTGCTCCAGCGACTGCTGAATCAGCCGGCACCCTCAGGCCCGCTAATCGTTCCACTGCCGCCCGCAGCGGCGCTGGACCGCAGTGTGGAGCTCCTGAGCAGCGCCAACAAGCTGACGGCGGACAGCGTATTTGCGAAGCTGCGTCAATTCATTATCAGCGCTGGCAGCTACCCGAGCCTCATCGAAAGCCCCTACGTCTACTGCAAGCGCAAGCCACGCCATGGCTGGACGCCTGTCTTTGGGCCTCTGAACACCTCACCATCGTACGATGAGTTTGACAGGCGCCGGGCTGATTTCAAGAAGGGGGACGATAGGTGAACGGATGAATCCTGCCCTGTTCTGAGGGGTGCTGTACAGTTGATGCTGCACCGTCTCAACGGCCTCGGCCATGTTTGCGATGCGGTAATGCCATCGTGGGTGGGGTTATGGGGTGGAGGTTGAGGCAATGATGACTTTGGGTTGCGCACAAAAATATGCGTCGAAAAACTTTCCATGTTAATCGGCTGTGGGACAAAACATGCATCCCCAGAGTTTGTAATCACAACGTGCGTAGGATATAAATTTGTAGCGTTAAAAGTATGTGATGTGAAAAGTTTGGATAGCATAAGATCCATCAGGTAAGATCCAATCTGAAAAAGTGTGTATCGAAAATAGTCGTACGCACAAATATTCGTATGGACAAAGTTTGGACGTCGCAGGTCGCAGAAAAACATTTGCCATGCAAAGGTGGCATTGGAAACGAAGCGGCACAGGCAATACAATTTCCTTTGGAGTTTGCTGGCGTTTGAGTTTTTGGGACCTTTTTGTGGTCCGCTAATATATATATATATATATATATATATATATATATATATATATATATATATATATATATATATATATATGTGTGCATATAGTATGTATATACATGTGTGTGTGTGTGTGTGTGTGTGTGTGTGTGTGTGTGTGTGTGTGTGTGTGTGTGTGTGTGTGTGTGTGTGTGTGTGTGTGTGTGTGTGTGTGTGTGTGTGTGTTACTATGGATTGCATCACGCCATCTTGTTCAGGAGACCGATCCAAGACTTCGTTCGGGGTGAGCACCCAATTTCACGGTCACACTACTGTTGTGACCGTGAAATTGGGTGCCCCAAGAAACTGAAGATTTTGGGGCCCGTCCTTGCGCTCTTTGGATTAGCTCCTCCTAAAAATAAAGGTTACGGCGCCCGGAATGAAAGCTTTGCTGTCCATTTGCCGATTGAGCCGATCCAGGATTTCTTCAGTTGCACACGGCACGGATATTGTGGTGCCCCTGGAAATTGGTGCCTCCAAAACATGTATATTTGGGACCCTTTCCAATCATGAGATCCAATGTCCCTGAGATTTGGTAGCTCTTAAAAATGAAGAATATGTGGTTTCGAAATGAAGGATTTGGAACTCCCTTCCCCATGAGTTTTTAGTGTTACGAAAGGATACCAAAGCACCATATGAATGCCCTGTAGGGGTTGGTTCAATGGCCCCTCTCGATTGACCCCTCTGCACATCGCTGTCGATTACAAGCAACACAATGGGACAATGAAATTTCGGCAGTCCTGTAGCATCGACATCACACCATTCAGTGAAGCATCTTCTTTAGCCACAGTGGCTGGTATCTCCGGGAGAAGCTGAACAGCTACTCAAAGTGGCTGCCTTTCCACAGCCTCCTGGAGCAGCCTCAAAGCAGAATCATTTGTGGGCACGAGCGGTGCCCACCGTGAGAGGAAGATGCTGTGTCCAAATGGTGGATGGTCCGTCTGCAGCAAATAATTCGTCCTTGAACCAAAACAGGACGGAAAACCGTTACCTGATATTTTCGGCGTCAATGAAGGAATATTACTACATGTCGTTATGGCGCGAACATAAGCACGAAAAACCACGACCTGGAGGCCTTTCTTATATCGAGTCTAAATTATGACAAGAATAGAGTGGGCAGAATCCACAAAGACGCATTTGGTACATAGCACTGGTAAGATTCATGCTCCCCCCCCCCCCCACCCCCACCACTGAAATACGTGAAATTTTCCCCTCCTGTGAGTGCCTACAGGGCTACCCTGGCACTCGCCGAGCCAGCTCCACCCTTTCTCTGATTCACTCTGTCTTTCGCCCCTCCCTTGATTCATGATTTGCCTTCACGTGACGGTTCCGCCAACCGAAGACAGAGGTCTTCCGGGACCGCCTCCCGGCTCCCCTGCGGCGAGTCGTCTTGACGTGGATCCCTTCGTTGGCCAAGGCGTGTTGAGCTGACCTTCGGAGTATTGCCGGGTTTCGCCTGTCGTCTGGTTGACTTATGACGTCACGCTTTCCCGCCACCGACCTATCAGCCGTAGCCAGGTGCTCCCGCGACTCACCGGAGCCCAGCTCCGCAGCGGTGGTATGCACGCTCCCGGTGCACATCTGAACACCAGGGTGTTGGCTGGGTATCGGCGCTCTGATGTGCACCGGCCTCGGTGTAGTGTGTGGGCTCCACCTCTCTGAGCCGGCAGAGTTCTGTTTCGCTGCGGCAGGGGTGGCTGCCTCTGCCCTGCTGGGAAGGGGCCTGGAGCAGGGGGCTACCTCTCCGGTCGTCGTTGCACCGTCAGTGGTGTTTTAACTTTGGCGGGGTTATTCAATCCAGGGTGGAGTGGTGACGATGGGCTAGGGATGCATAAAAAGGGAGCACTGAACAAAAGCGACCTTGGTTAAAATGTAAGCTCCACCTTACGCTATCACTACTCATTCGTTTGTTGCTGAAGCTTTAGGGGCAATGACCCGACGGCTGCGTGTGCTCGCGTATCGTTCCGTGCTGAATGATGCTTTCACTTACGGACCAATCATGTAGGCACCCACCATCCAGGGTAACGTAATTAACATTTGAAGAATATCTGGACTCAGTAACGCATGTTTGATTTTCTAAAAGCAACAATCATGCAAGATTCGCGTGTTTAATTATGCTGGAGGAATTTACAAGTGTTTCCATTTTTTAGGCCATTTCCTCAAAATTCTCAACCGCCAAGCCGATACCGGACGCACTACTACTATATAGTAGAAGAGGACGACGCCATCAAAGCATATGATGTAAGTAAACTTTCGATAAGCATTCAGGCTCAATTCTGGCTGGTGCCTTCTCAACTCTTTGTTTCAATTTAAACCACGTGGAACACTTGGAGCCAACTAATGGCCAACTAACGACTAATGACTGTTGACTTAAAGCAGTAGCAATCTAAAAGCTATGCATGTTCGAAAAATGTTGCATCATACCAAACATTGGCACGTAAATCCATTACTTTGAACACCGTACCTATTGTCACCCTCTGTATTCCGGTCTTAACATGCGCACAACGCGTGGTCTGTACCTCTGACAAAACATGCTTTGTTACGCGTGTATGCATGAACCGAATCCCTGTGGAGGTAGTGATACTCGCAGGGTAGCTCGTGACAGCTCAGAGGCCACCTTCGCCGCAGTCGTCGCATGCTCGGGGCTCGCCGTTCCCTTTTATCTAACGACAGGAATTTCATAACTTGTTCCCTAATCAGTCCATGGAGCGTCGGGAGAGATGGGGTGAATAACCTCTCTCTCTCTCTCTCTCTCTCTCTCTCTCTCTCTCTCTCTCTCCTCTCTCTCTCTCTCTCTCTCTCTCTCTCTCTCTCTCTCTCTCTCTCTCTCTCTCTCTCTCTCTCTCTCTCTCTCTCTCTCTCTCTCTCTCTCCCTCTCTCTCTCTCTCTCTCTCTCTCTCTCTCTCTCTCTCTCCCTCCCTCTCTCTCTCTCTCCCTCTCTCTCTCTCTCTCCCTCTCTCTCTCTCTCTCTCTCTCTCTCTCTCTCTCTCTCTCTCTCTCTCTCTCTCTCTCTCTCTCTCTCTCTCTCTCATAGCCCAATAATTATTTCGACTATGAGTTTCTCCCAAAGTCCAAATGTTATTGGTTTCTGGCATGTCTCATTAGCGCTTTTGAGTTCTTATATTTGTTCATCTCTTCTAAGATTTGTAACTAAAGCTTTGTACGAACAATCTCCATTAACATATGACGCCGATAATACAATACTGATAGCCTTATTACTCATAGAATAGCCATGAGAATGGGGAGATAGATGCACTGATATTTCGGCTACGTGCCTTTGTCGGAACGACTATCAGTATCATCAGTCAACTGACTGGCTATGCCTCCATTCTCCTGGTTATTGTACGAGGGATACAGCTATTTGAAGGAACTGTTTCATATGTGTACGGAATTTTTATTGAAAATGGCAGTCTAGAAAATCGTTTGGTGCAGTTCACAACCCTGCCCTCCCTAGGATCTAACCCGTTCTAGTTTATGAGCTACATGCCCGCGAAGATGTGCAGAGTGTTTTGGCGAGACTAGTATAACGTCACTGAGGCGTCCATGGCGCTATAATGACGTCATTCAAGTTCTGTCACTCCACTGGTCATGCAGCGATCAAGACCAACAACGATATAAATGTCGAGTCGCTCATTCTGGCGTTTGCAAGCACGGTTTCCAAGTATAATGACCGTCAATTGGCACCAACGCCATAATAACGTCACTTAAATCATGCCATTCCATTGGCCATGCGGCGGCCACGGCCAACACAAATATAATTGTCAAGTCGTTCAAATCTGGTGTTCGTGAGCACGATTTCGAGACACAACGGTCGCTAATTGGTTCTCAATGTTGTATACGTTACGATGACGCAGTCAAGCAGTGGCGTAATGTGTGGCATATTCACTGATGCGTGAAATTTTGTTACTGAGAAAAGTTTTCAGCCTTAAAGGGAATGTTTCACATTTGAAGAAATCAAAGCAGGCATTAGAAGTGATGAAACAAGCTCAGTTATAACTATTCCCATACTTTCAAGCACATAAGACTGCTCCAGATTACCCATTTTCTCCGTTAGTTGAATATGTGCCCCGACACGTCACTGATCACGTCATCGTACCTTGTACAGCATTGAATGAGGTGCAGTTAAAGGCCGTTCAGCCTGGAAATCGTACTCTCGAACGCTAGCTGTGAACTACTTGACTTTTATATTTTGATTGACCTTGGTCAACGCATGGGTTAGGGCATGGCAGGATCTGAATGACGTTATTATGGCGTCATGAACGCTAAGGTGACCTTAAAGTGCCCTGCAAAAAACAAGTCGTATTTTCGCATTCGTGTAGCTCAGAAACTAGAGGGGCTTAGTTTTTAAGAAGGATAGAGCTGTAATCTGCACCGAAAGGTCTTCAAGACTGTTATTTCAGCTCAAACCCCATAGCAATGTGGAGCACTACTTTTAACAACACACCACTGGTTACAAGTGAGCTGTTGGTCTGCTGTTTACTTCAACATTTCAAATGTGGAACATTCCGTTTAATGCTGTCTTACCTTTACGCATAATGTTCCTCGCAAATGCGCTCAACAGCTAACGTAACCTAGGACTTCAATGAAACAGTTGCTAAGGATTAAAAGTTGCAGGTAGCTATGTGAAGCGTGGAAAACGTTTCTGGACATCATGTTTACAAATGTGTAATGCCATATAGATTTTGGTGCAGTGTGTAATGATACCTAACGTTTTTGGGGGCATGACTGGATGTCAGTGATGTCAATGGAGATCTGAATATGCGTAGACAAAATATTATTGCAGTTCTTACTTTCACGCAGCACACAAACAGCGCGGCGACGGTTGTGGGATGAAAAGGGGATAGTGGTGAGAGTGAAATGCGAATCATTTCGGAGATACCATGTGACATTTATTTGGTGCTTTACCGTGATATACTCAGTTAAGAAAATCAACACCATGCAGGAGACTCTCTTTGACTCTGGAATGTGTGTCATGCCATTGAGGTATTTGTGACACATTCGAATGGTGTTTGTGCTTATGTACAGTGATCAACTGAGGAGACATCCCATGGCTTGAAAATCCAACATTTCAACTCTGTCGTTGTAAAGTTGTCGGTTGATGCATGTCACTTTAGGAGACACTGCCCTTGGCCCATTTATGTAGATGCAGAGATGTAAAGTCTCTGGTGCATTCTAATGACAAATTGAATTTCATCCTCTTTCCTCTTTTTTAGGTGAAAACTGCATCACAGCGCTTAAGATCTCTTTGGCATCAAAGAAATTCTGTTGCCTACGTACCTTGACCAATGCTCTCTAAACAACATCAATGGTGTTAAAACAACAGCATTAATTTCAAGCAATGCTGTTAAATAGGTGACACTGACATGCCATTGTGTGTTCATTTTAACGGGTTGGTGTAAAAGTAGAGTGGAAAGACAAAATGTGGCAACATGCAATGCAAATGCGATAGCGCACTGCCTGCGGGTTAATGACACGTAAGCACTGAAGCGCAGAGGGCTTTTGTGGGCTGGATCGCCAGCAGGGCGGGGCGGGCTGGGCTGCCGGCTGATATTTTGGAGCAAGTTGCGTCTCGAGCGTGGAACTTCGCACTCATGTTAAGATGCTCTCGGTCTACCCGCAGTGCCATGGTAGCAATATAATAATAGCACGCGCTCGGGTGAGAGGGATATCAATTTGATCCCCTCCGAAGACTTTTACACAATCACTTCCAAGCGGTGCGAATCTTGCAAAGCTGTAGGCAATTTAATATTGGATCTTTTCACACCCAAGATTAGATGTGCCTTGTGGGGTTGCTGACCTAAAGCATGCCAAAATCAGCAGCGGCGGTCAGCGAAGGCAGTGTCTACGAATCGTTACATATGATGTGACAACGATGAAGTAGGCGTAGTCATACATCTCTGAAATAGGTTCTTAGGCAATTCGATAAATGAAGTTGGGATTACAGCAAGTTCCTTTTGACCTAGGGTCAGGTATGCAGGTCAGACAAGATTTGAACCAGCCTGCGTTTTTGCTGGATGACGTGGTTTTTGGAGCTCATTTCGAATTTCTGAGTGACAGCAACCACAACAGCCATCCTTGATCGGCGTATTACACGTCTGATTAGGCCACTGACCTATATGACCCAGGTCAACATTTCGTTTTTAGGAACATGCCGCCTAGAGCAATACTTGACACTTATTCACACACAAAAATCAAAACAACATTTGTGATTTAGGTCATTATGATCTTCTAAGGGTGGAACAAGGTTACTGACCTTGAGTGATCACCACTGACCCTTTGCTTGGACCAGGTATCTAGTTCAACATGTTGCATTTATTTGATGTGCCCGAGAATGGATACACATTTGGAGTATCATATATGAGGTGAGATGGGCGTTGTAGTGATTCAGAAGGCGTACAAGATGAGCGCTGTCCAGCGTTTGTAATGTGGATTCCGCTGAAACTGCTCAGTGGCATGTGTAGGTATGTTGCACCTAGCCTGAAGTCTGGAAATGTTAGATAATACGCTCATACCTTTACGTTATTGAAACCAGAAGGAGTTTTGGCCCCTGTGGTATGCTGATGATTTTGAAATATTGGCCAAAATAGCTTGGATGTGAGAAATATTATAATGAGTCTTGTATGTCCCCATCTCCATGCAAGATTTAATTCTCAACAGGTAGCTAACTGTGTTTACTATCTTAGCACCTATTGGCTTGTGAAAATTTAGGGTGCATGAAAACTTTTTTCCAAAACATTTTTTTCCCACTGGACGTCAAAAAAGTTTTGAAGTTTAAAGTACTCAGATCGGCCAAGCTGCTGTTTACAATTTTGAAAATATTCTAATGTGGATGCACGGATTAATATCGCAAATGATTCTGGTAAGGCGGACCGGACTGGATTACATTGAAGACTATGTGAAAAGTGGATTGGTGTGTGGATTGGATCTGGACCAGGTAAGCTGGACTGGACCAGATTGGACTGGACCAGGTAAACTGGACTGGACCAATTGGACTGGACCAGGTAAACTGGACTGGACCAGATCGGACTGGACCAGGTAAACTGGACTGAACCAGATTGGACTGGACCAGGTAAACTGGACTGGACCAGATTGGACTGGACCAGGTAAACTGGACTGGACCAGATTGGATCTGGACCAGGTAAGCTGGACTGGACCAGATTGGACAGGACCAGGTAAACTGGACAGGACCAGGTAAACTGGACTGGACCAGATTGGACTGGACCAGGTAAACTGGACTGGACCAGATTGGATCTGGACCAGGTAAACTGGACTGGACCAGATTGGACTGGACCAGGTAAGCTGGACTGGACCAGATTGGACTGGACCAGGTAAGCTGGACTGGACCAGATTGGACTGGACCAAGTAAGCTGGACTGGACCAGATTGGACTGGACCAGGTAAACTGGACTGGACCAGATTGGACTGGACCAGGTAAGCTGGACTGGACCAGATCGGACTGGACCCTCATATATTTACAGGCTCACCGCGCATGCACTCCTTAAACGCAGCTGAGTTGAATTGCTGTTGTATGCTATTATGAATGCATACAATTTCCTAAGCAAGTTCCGTGCCCTTATTTTTCATAGGCGGTTATAATAACTCGAAATTTTAGGAAGAGCTGGGGTTTCATCTTCCATACGCCACCGACTTTCCATGTACCCTTCGTGAATTACCACCATTACCCCACCTCATATCGTAGGATGACAACCAAAGTAAATCATCTAGACTCTACATCTGTTTTTAACGTCAAACATGGCACTAAACTTAGAACTCAAAACCTCCCTTTCAGAAAAGATTTGAACCGTGCTTCATTGATAAATTGCTTTCAACTTGATTTCTGATAAAATTTTACAGTTCACCTCATACACACATATACATTTTTTAATCAATTTGAACAATTTCACAAAAATGCTACTGAAAGCTACCACTTCAACATTTCAGTTTTCGATATAATTGAAAAGTGCATTCAAGTGACATTACACACAGTGCATTAGAATAATTTGGCAATGTATTTTTGTCATTTGGAACACGTTCTATGCTATATATTGGGCAATTCCTGAAATGGTTCATATAAAACCTGACTATTATGTGATAGATGTCATTGATTAATATTTCCATGTGTAATATGCAATTTAATCATCAATGCTGTTCATTAACACGCGCTCGGGTGGGTTCAAATTGCCCCCCCCCCTCCCCGAAGGTTTTTCCAGAATTGTTTTCAAACGGCGCGGCGCAGAAGCGCTAAATTTTGCATAGCTGTAGACAATTGAAAAACGGATCGATTGACATCACAAATTAGATATACCTTATAAGGTCACTCACCTATGGCAGGTCAAAGTCAGGCCATGGTTCCGGCGAAGACAATTTTAGGGAATCGTCCAATCCGATACAATAACGGAGTGTTTGACGAGAGCATACATCTCTGAGATGCTTTCTTAAGCACTACAAATATTAAATGAGCAAGCTACCTCGACCTAAGCTCAAGTACGAAGGTCAGACCAAGGTCACTACCAACCTGATTTATTACTCTAGGACTTACTGTATGGGATAGTTTGTGGTGCTCATTTCGAATTTATTGACAGCAGGAACCGCATTATACATCTTTCATTGACTTTTTAGAACTCAGAAAAGGTCATTGACCTAAGATGACCTGGGTCGACATTTTGTTTTATCAACATACTGCCTAGCGTAATCTTTGTCACTTATTCAAATGCAAAACTTAGAGCAGACTTGTATGATTTTGGTCACCATGATCTTCAAGAAGTCAAACAAGGTCACTGACCTCAAATGGGTTTTTGACCTGTTAATTTTTTGCCTCATAAGGACCAACCAGTTGCACTATCCTCTTGCTCTTCTTGTCCATTGTGTTTACGAAGCGTTCCAGCAAGTGACATGTTGTTTGATCGGGTACAATGACAAAAGTAGTATGAATGCAAATGGAAACGTGGCAACAACGCGACCACATTCGCACGGCTCAAAACATCTAGTCGTTCACACAACTTCGTCAAAAGAGAATGTTAATCAAAACTGAAATCGTCACCGCATGTTACGCAACTACAAGCAAACAATGATTACACAACAAGGCCGTCTAAATCCTCTGGCCTGGTGCGAAAGTTATTGCGAGTGCGAGAGGCGGCGATGGTCGGCGGCAGGCGGCTCCGGGATGAGGCCGCGCGTTACGAAAATATATGCGTACCACCGACAGGCGAAGAGCTGGCGGATCAAGGGCGCCCTCCGCTGCTGCTCGGGTGACACGCTGGCATACAGCGGTACGTGGGGTGAATAGGGACCGGATCGCCACCGGAGCCCGCGAGTCCTTAAGGGCTCTGAATGCGGCGAGGCCGTCACGTTGGTGACAAGATCACTGACATATATATATATATATATATATATATATATATATATATATATCAAATGGTAACGGCTGTTGTGTGACGATTGAACCATATGACGTAGACTTTAGGCCACCACCGCTGTCAAAACTCGAGGAGATTTCCGGATCACGGAACTGGCGAAGAATGGTTCATACTGCTGGGCGGACAAATGAACCGGCTGCGATCTTGCTCTAATGCTGCCGATAGTCAAGGATGAGTATATCATTCAACTACTTTAACCAACATGTTATTCATATAACGACGTCCACACGTGCAACCAGCAGCAGACTAGTGTTTTTATGTGTGTACAAGTTTTCTGAGCTCACTCGATAACGGCCTACTCGTCCAATATGTGCATTCGAACGGGAACCATCACGGAGATGTAGCACAAGAGTGATGTAATGTTGCATAAAGTTCATCCAATGGATACACGCAAAGAACATCCTACAAGGTGCGCGCTTACTGAGGAAAACCAATCAGACATCAATTACAACCAGTTAAACAAACCAACCAACCGACAGCCATCGTCATCTGCTGAAATATTTCATTTCATTGAGCCAGAATCGCTCCTCGAATTAATGGCGCTTTGTTTCCAGTCGTCCGCGAAGTCACGCAGCTTCTGTTCGACTATCACCATAACCCGTTGCAATATTTTCAATTTCATGCCTTTTATCGTGCTCTTTCTCCCTCCCTCTCTTGTCTTGATCTTGTGACCCCTGACCCATGCCTCCCCGTCCGTTAACTCCTGGCCTGACTTGGATCGGTTCCTCTGTCTGACCGTCAGGAGGCCGGGTACCTGCCGCTGACAAATCTGGTGCTGGAGACCCGTCCCTGCGAGCGACGGAAGAGGATCATCTGCCCACATTGCCGTTACCTCAATGGGGGCGGTAGCGGCGTCCCAAGACATCAGTTTCTTCAACGCTCAGGCACTACTGGTCCGTCACCGGCTGTGGCTAATTCGGCAGGCCGGACGTCGGCGGCCGTGGCTGTGGCCGTACGCTCCTTTTTCCCGGAGACGTTCCTCTTCCAGCTGGAGGGTCTTGGGTGAGCGAAATACATGCAATACAGACAGCAGCCCTCTCCGGAGTAACGGACTTGATCCCTAGACTGTCAGACCCAAAGGCGACCACCCCGACTACTTTATCACCAGCGCAGGGGATATTCCACAGTAGATGGACCGGCAATATTTGGGTGCTGCTGGCGACTTTTGAGCACACAGGTCAACTCCATCCCAACTGACCATGACACCCATTTCGACAAGTGGTATGGTGTGAAAAAATACCTTGCATTTTGCCTTGGTTTGCATGCTATCCATGCGTAGAATGCTTCCACTTTTGGCCGAGGTTGATACATGCTGGCCGGTTTTATCTAAGCCAGCTAATTAGTCTTGCTATATCTATTCTTAGTCTTTAATAGCTAAAAAGTGTCAGCTAATTGGCCTTGATCTGATAATATTTTTGGAAAACGCCGACGCCAGATCGACAGTGCTCCTTAACATCTGTCGCTGGCAGTCATTTGTCGGACCGACAGAGTGTGTGTTCTCAATAAAGCGCCCATGCGATGATGATGCTGATGTGCATGGCTGGTAACACTGCGCACTCTCGACCGGTAGGGGCGACGGTGAGGTGGATCTCAAGCAGAAGATGCCAGACACCATCACACGCTGGGTCGGCTCCGCCTTCTGCAGCAACTTAAAGGTCACAATGTGCTCGCTGCGTCCTGTAACATTAGTGACGATGTGCCCGCCCGTTCCCAGGATTTCCGATTCGGTGACGAGTGAAATGCTTTGAGTCAGAAGTGCTGTCATTAAAGGCTGTAAGAAAAACGTAGAATGGGACTGAAGCAACGCTATCAAGGATAAGTGAGGAGTGTCATTATCAAAAGGAATATATTTCATATCGTGTGTGCATTTCACGTGAATATTACAGGCTTTCCCAAGATCGATGTGAGGTGAGCAACATGGCTGTTGTGTCTTGTGGCGCTCAGTTGACAGCCAATCCTCAGTCATTCACCAGCTAATTGTCATCGAATTCCCAGTCCGTCACCAGTCAATGTCCAGGCCGTATCTGTCCCCAGCACGTCCCCGATCCATTATCATTCAGCTGGTACTCAGACTCTACTAATTTGGGATTGTCAGGCACCTGGCAACCTTCAGCTAGCCACTGGTCAGTGCGCTAACCATTACCATCCTGGTTCCATGCAGTCAGTAGCCAATGTCCAACTAGTCGGAATGGCATGCAATTCCCTCGCCACCAACTGATTCCCACTTAGTTGCTCGCCAGTCACCAGCTAGGCAACAAGTGTGCTCCGAGGGGCGTCGACGCACCGGCCAGTCAACACGTGCCAATACAATACTGACGCCAGTCAACACGTGACAATACAATACTGACGCCGATCAACACGTGCCAATACAATACTGACGCCAGTCAACACGTGCCAATACAATACTGACGCCAGTTAACACGTGCCAATGCAATACTGACGCCAGTCAACACGTGCCAATACAATACTGACGCCAGTTAACACGTGCCAATGCAATACTGACGCCAGTCAACACGTGCCAATACAATACTGACGCCAGTCAACACGTGCCAATACAATACTGACGCCAGTCAACACGTGCCAATACAATACTGACGCCAGTCAACACGTGACAATACAATACTGACGCCAGTCAACACGTGCCAATACACTACTGACGCCAGTCAACACGTGCCAATGCAATACTGACGCCAGTCAACACGTGCCAATACAATACTGACGCCAGTCAACACGTGACAATACACTACTGACGCCAGTCAGCACGTGCCAATACAATACTGACGCCAGTCAACACGTGACAATACACTACTGACGCCAGTCAACACGTAATAATACAATACTTACGCCAGTCAACACGTGACAATACAATACTGACGCCAGTCAACACGTGACAATACACTACTGACGCCAGTCAACACGTGACAATACAATGCTGACGCCAGTCAACACGTGACAATACAGTACTGACGCCAGTCAACACGTGACAATACAGTACTGACGCCAGTCAACACGTAATAATGCAATACTGACGCCAGTCAACACGTGACAATACACTACTGACGCCAGTCAACACGTAATAATACAATACTGACGCCAGTCAACCGCCAGCCTGATCCGCATCTGTCCGCAACGCTGAGGCTGTCGGAGGTGGTCCAGTCTCCAGCGTGTCGCTGAAGCCAGCTGCTAACTGGAGCTCCGGGTCCACAGAGCGGGTTCGGACTCTCGGAGACGGCCTCCATTACCACATTCAAGCCGTTCTTTGCTGAGATCAACGTGCCGTTCTCGGTCAAGCGAGGCGAACTGCTACGGCTCAAGGTCTCCGTGTTCAACTTCCTGGCGACTGATCTGTCGGTACGTCACCCATTCGAATACAGACGTGTCGGTAAGTCACCCATTCGAATACAAAGGTGCCAGTAAGTCACTCATTTAAACACACAGGTATCAGTAAGTCACCCATTCGGGTACAGACGCGTTGGTAAGTCACCCATTCAAATACAGACGTGTCGGTAAGTCACCCATTCGAATACAGACGTGTCGCTAAGTCACCCATTCGAATACAGACGTGAAGTCAAGTCACCCTTTCGAATACAGACATGTCGGTACGTCACCCATTCAAATACAGGCGTGTCGATGAGTTCTCCATTCAAATACAGACGTGTCGGTAAATCACCCGTTCAAATACAGACGTGTCGGTAAATCACCCATTCACATACAGACGCGTCGGTTAGTCACCCATTCGAATACAGACGTGTCGGCAAGTCACCCATTCGAACACAGAAGTGTCGGTGAGTCGCTCATTCGAATACAGATATGTTGGCGTGTGACCCGCGCGAGTGCGGATTTATCGACAAATCCCTCACGTCAATAGACATATCTCGATGAATGGCTCCTACGAGCACAGATATGTCAGTGAGCCGACTAAGTAGCGATCCATCATTTACCGAGCTATGTTTAGTGGTTTGACCATTCATCTCTGGACAAATGTGGGCACGGGCTGTTACTCCGTTAGTCGGTTGCGCCACGGAACCGCTCCTTCGAGTAGCGGAAGCGTAACTTTTTCAAAAGCAACAAAAAATGCAACGGAACCAGTAACTTGAGTTACGTTCGTAGTCCCCTTTTCCTCTACAATTTAGTTCGCTACTCCGCTGTTTCCTTGCTTCGTAACTTTTCACTTGCTTTCGTGCGGTGTAACGTACGTTTTCAAGGAAGACCATGCAGACCATGTAGCACGTCATTGGAGCCATGTTTCCAATACACAAAGGTGTTTTTCAGGCTGTGCATACCAGTCTGAGGCATTTCACGTTAAAACAAGACAAATTCTCGCATTCGCACCATCATATCTTCAAAGCTTCTTAGGTGGGCACATGGCAAAGTGTTATACCCTAAAAACTGTCGTATAATTCTGGGCGTTACCGGAAATCTTCCGGGCCACATTTCAGCTATTTTGAGTCGGCTCATTTCATCCTTACACTTGACTTCCGTTTTCGAAAGGAGCCACTGTGGTAAACGCCATACGGGAGAAAACAAAGCTATGAAATAATGCTTCGTCGAATTCGCCGGATAATAGCTCTACGTCCGCCTATCTTTTTTGCCTATACAGAATGTTTCAAGCCTTAGTAACACTTCCCACAAGAACGCCTTGTCAAAGTATCGTTTTGCAAACGCGTGTTATGCTCATGGATTCCTGGTTCGTGCATCAAGATTTATGTCGCGTATAGAGCTCATGGATAAGTAAGTTAGCGAGAACATTTATGTTGCGTGTAAAGGTCATAGATGAGTAGTTCGTATCTTCAAATTAATATTGCGGGTAAATCTTGTGAATAAGTAGTTCGTGATGTGCAATAAATGTCACGTGTAATTGGTGTCTTGGATGTTCTGTCGTCAGCAGTATATAACAAGTACCATCTACACCATTCGCGTCTCGTTCAGGCATGCTGCCCGACCGCCTGCACCCCGTCCCGAACTCCGGTCGTCAACGCTCTGGCCCGAGCTCTGACCAGGCACCCCGCGTGTGTAGGTGCTGGTCGAACTGGCGCCCTCTAAGGACTTCAGCGTGGACGGCGGCGCGCCACGCACCCACGCGATCTGCGTGCGGGCGGACCGGCCGTCGGTGGTGGAGTTTCCGCTGCAGTTCAGCAGCCTGGGCGATGTGGACATCACGGCGACGGTGCGGGCGGACGGCGCTGCCTGTGGCAAGCCCAACACCGTGCAGGCCAGGTGAACGGCTCCCCGGTGCACGTCTGCCAGGCGGAACAGGTCACACCATGACACAGCTGCTTCAGAGTGGAGAAACTGCGGGCGGTCACTCACCCAATGTTAGCTAACATGAAACACGTGTCCCAATGTGGCATCATGTACGCCAATAGGAAGCTTCATTATCAGGTGTCGCATACGAGAGGGAGGTTAGGTGTAGTTCGTTTTTAGAATGTTGATGGCTGCTTCTGGTCCGACAGTCGTGAACTTTGTCAGTGAAAACACCGATCTAAAATAAACGCCGCGTAGCGACTTTCCTTCCAATCGCGGCCAGGTGTCATAGTATCTAGACATATTGTATTATACACGTATAGTTTATATATATATATATATATATATATATATATATATATATATATATATATATATATACCACGCACGTAGGTGTCCACAGATTGCCACACATTTTAAAACTCCCAGAATGCTGTGGAGGTCCACCTTTGCGTGTTGGGAGGGTTATCTCATTTAGCGGCTTTGCCACACACCTCCGGTGCGGTACCATCTGTTGATCCGTTCGGGTTTGCTATAGTTCGAACATAATTTAGAGCGAGAACTTACAACTCGATTCGCCCGCAGCCAACATTGCTCAGTACAAGTATCCACCAAAGGCTGGCGATGATCTTAACGCTATCAGGTGCATACAGCGCTATGCACAATGTAGGTGTGCCGATGATCGGGAAGTCCAGGGCGGTTAGGACACTCCGTGTTTTTGCAGTGACGCGCTGCGCCGCAGCTTGCTGGTGAAGCCTGAGGGCTTCCCGCAGGAGGAGGTGTCCACCGCCTTCGTTTGCCGGCCAGAGGGTACCCCAGCCGCCACAGTGGTGACGTTCCCGCTGCAACTGCTTCCCACGCTGGTGCCCGACTCGCAGCGCGCCTGGATCTCCGTCGTTGGGGACCTGCTCGCGCCGTCCTCCGCGGTGAGTGTTACCAGAACATTCGGGCGCGGTCGTTGGTTGCATAAGTGGCGCATAAGGGAAGGCCCTGCCATCCTTTTCATACACCTGTTTATTTATTGATGTTATTTTGGGAAGGGAATTCATTGCGTCACAGTGTTGTGTATCAATGCTTTGGTGTATTTCACTGACGTGGCATCCAGAGTGACACTATATGCATATATATATATATATATATATATATATATATATATATATATATATATATATATATACATATATATATATATATATATCTATATCTATATCTATATCTATATATATATATATATATATATATATATATATATATATATAGGCCGTTGGCCAATTTTCAAGAGCCATATTGTGATTGCCTGTTAACATTAGCAAACCTGTTTAGATGACATGAAACATGAGCTTTCGTAGAATGATGACTCTTTACTTATATTCCAAACAAGGATATTTAACAACGTTTATTTATCAAAACAGCTTCACAGGTCCGCGAAACCTTGTTGTTATCAAGAATGTTTGGTGGAACGCTTCACAACCGAGAATGCCCCCATCAAAATGCTAAGATATTTTATGCGCCGTAAGTTTAAGAAAAATGTGTATCCCAACGGTTTTGCACGCGCGTTTACATAAAAAGTGTCCTTCGCCCATCCTTTGCTAAGGAAATGTAGGTCCAGTTGCTATTTTCTGTAGCGGTTTTCCATTTAGAGAACGCAAACGATATCAAGTATATTGTCTTGTGTTCGTGGTCTGTGCCCAATTTGTGTCCACCCCATTAATCCACTTCCTAATTTTGTGGGCACTTTAAACACAAATACAAAGATGAACTTTGTATGCAGAATTTGGAACGCTTGGTGCGAGTCCCCACTGGATGCGGAGAGCAGAACATGATCGGCTTTGTTCCCAACATCTTCGTCCGGCGTTACCTTGAGGAAGTCAAGCTGATCACAGATGCTCTTCGGATAAGAACTACGAATAACATGAGGACCGGTAAGCTGGTGAACAGCCAGAGCTGCGTCTGTCGATCATCATGCTGACGATGAGCGGGCAGATCTCATGTAATGCTGTGTTTGTGTGGAATGTACCACTATCCTGGACGGATTCCTCCTATTGGTACCAGGTTTGCATGTTTAGGCTTATTCGCTTATAAGCTTTCCTGATCCCGATTCGGATGCAACCTTTAAAGACGCACTTTGCCTTCGTCCCGTCGGAAGTGGCCTGTTCTCTTGTCACAAGTGGTCTGCCATTCGTGTGTACTTTCCAACATTGATGGCACGATCAGGTTGGTTAATCCCGTTGTAAGACCAGCGTCAGCTATCGAGCATCGGTTAGCTGTGAGCTGCATCTCCAGCCTTGTCTGCCTCACTGCCCTACCGCCGTGACGCTTAGCGATGTTGACGCGCCATCAGCGGCCCAACCGAGCCGCTCTTGGCGATGTTGGCACGCCACCAACCGTCCAACCGAGCCGCTCTTAGCGGTGTTGGCACGCCACCAGCGGTCCAACCGAGCCGCTCTTAGCGGTGTTGGCACGCCACCAGCGGTCCAACCGAGCCGCTCCTGCCCTCAGGCTATCAGCGCGAACTGCGCTTCCGGCGCCGTGAGGGCTCCTATTCCGCTTTCCCGGAGCGGACGCCGAAGATCCGCAACGGCTCGCTCTGGCTGACGGCGTACGTGGTGCGCTCGTACGCGGCCGCCAGCCGCTACATTGCCATCGATGCTAAAGACCTGGACATCAGCACGCGCTGGATCGCCGGCCGCCAGGAGGCGACCGGCGAATTCAGCCCGCACGGCGCGCTCTTCCACCGTGAGATGCGGGGCGGCGTCGGCAGAGGCGGCAACGAGGCGCTCACGGCGTACGTGGTGCTGGCACTGATGGAGGCCGGCGGCCAGCAGGCGGTCGTCAAGCGCGGCCTCGACTTCCTCGTCAAGACGTCCGTCTTCAGCACGCTGTATGCCGAGGTTCTGGTGACACACGCACTCGTGCAGAGTGGCAGGACGGAGGGCGCGACGCGCCTGGCCGCCCTGCTGAAGAAGGGCGTGCGCCGTGGCGGCCAGCTGCACTGGGAGGGCGACCGGTCCAGCGTGCACGGTGGCAGTCGCGCCGTCGACGTGGAGATGACGTCATACATGGTGCTCTCGCTGCTGAAGGTCGGCGGCCGGGCCAACCTGGGTGAGGCAGCGCTCGCCATCAAGTGGGTGAATACACAGCGCAACAACGTCGGCGGCTTCGTGTCCACGCAGGACACTGTGGTGGCGTTGGCGGCGCTAACTGAGTTCGCCGTTGCCACGTACTCACCCAAGATGTCGGTGGACGTGACGGCGTCCGCGCAGGGCGGCTTCTCGGAGCGAATCAGCGTCACCGCCGGCACGCGCCTTCTCACGCGACAGCGTAGGATCCCGGACCCCCTGAAGCTGCCCAACTCGGTCAAGTTCGAGGTGGCCGGCGAGGGGTGCGCCGTCGTGCAGGTTAGCTGACCGGGCGGCGCTGGTGGAACCGCTGAGAGAAAATTGAGCACATATCTCCACCGTCATGCCAATGGCGGTACACGCAGGATTCTAGGCCTTCCATCTAGGTGTAATAATCAATCCAGGTATTATTTTCATATGATCTCGGTCTTCATCCCCGGCTGAACCCAACTGTCAGAACCGGAAGAGCGTTTATCTAGTCTAAAGGGTCAACTCGTTGTCCCGTCGAAAACCGATGATTTAATGGCCACTTATGTCGCTCTTCTGCAGCGCTCAAGCGCCTTTAATTCCATTTTTGACACTTTTCTGTCATAAACATTCTTTTCTTTTTAGAGTCAGCGGCGAGGCTTTCAGCGACCCGTACTAATAATCCTAAGAGCCGTGTCGAATGTGTTGCCAGACACCAAACCATTGCAACGATGCGTCCGCGGCATCATCTTGGTGGTATCAATGATATTCTCTTTGTTACGTCCGTAAAGAAGCGGTCCCTCACGCACTGTGTCTTTCGTGATCTCTACTTTTATTCCTTTGCAAGAAGTCATATCGCATGAGCGTCCGAAGATGACCCTACATCCATATGCAATAGGGACCAGTAGCAGACTTGTCTTCCCCATTTTCTAGTCGTTGTTCCGGTACAACACCAAGACTGCTTTCCCTGACCCGAGCTTCAATCTGAAGGCCAACATCATCAAAAAGAGCAGCACGTGTTCCACATTCACCTTGAGTAAGTTGTTTGGGGTGGTGCTTGACTGACGATGGGACTCTGCATATGGCCACCTGTTCTTTGGGCTTCATCTTCGAGCATAAGCCAAAAGTGATATCCTTGAACTGACAGATGTTTATGAAATCTAAAGACTTCATTGTGACTCGCTGCAGATTTCAAAGTGTTTACAATTTTACAGGTGTCTTAAACCATACTGAAGCGTGTGCAAAGCATTTACACCGTAAAATTTTGCTTGGAAGTAAACTGTCTAACAATGTTTTTGACACAATTTCAGTGGGGAGGCAAAAGATTCAATATATCTGAGATTTTGGGACAGTATATATTCCCGTCAATTCTGCAATCATCGTCATGGAGCGCATGCTGCACAGCTCTGCAATCCTTTCTCACGGAACTTACTGTTTCAATATTTAGAGCTGAAGGTAATGACTTCATGGTGTTATACAGGTATCTGTGCAAGTTTCAAGAAACCCAATACTGAGAGCAACATGGCAATTATTGAGATCGAAATGATATCCGGGTTTGTGACGGTGGACAAATCTCTGAGAGATGTGGAGAAAGAAGGAGGTAAGTCTGTGCGTGGTATTCCTTGCATATAAATGGGCTATTGATGCGTACTCAAGTTTTGGATTCCATTTCAATCTAGCATGAACAGAAACACGAAAACATAGTGTATTTTTTCAAATCAAGCCCCATGCCTTATGCTACGTGGTGGTTGTGTGATTACAGCAATCCTTATTATCATTCTCGTGGGCAGTGACTCTGCCACACGAGCAGTTTCAACAATGGGGGGTGACCCTCGCCCCCCCCTCCGGCGCCTCTCCGGCACCTCTCCCAGCCACATACCAGGAAATTGGTGGGCACTGTAGGATCTTAACAGGGCAATGTGGAATTCTAACCGCGCCGTGCAAAATAACACGTGCCAGCCAGTGCCAGTGTACACGTCCTCGTCGGAGGAGCCCCGATGCACCGGCAAAGCCTCGCTGTCCTATGACGAGGCTTGAAACTGTGCTTACAGCTACACGCCGTTTCCAATGCGGCCCTTATTCATGTCATCTTCCGAGCGTTGTACAAGAGCGTAACACAAGCATCATCATGGCAATTGAACGCGTAACTTGCGCTTTTAACCAGAGATAAGACGGTCGTAATAGCCTTATTCCTCGTACAAAAACCAGTAGAATGGAGATGTAGATGAGTTGATTTTCCGGCAAAATGCCTTTTTCAAGAAAAGTGACAGAAGTAAGCTCAAAACTGCCTGTCAATGATCCTGCTCGATTTTCAGGTTCTTTTTTTAAACAGCGAGCCACGGTTTTTACAGAACACTAGTATTCAGGGGATGAGGCAAGGAGCAGTTACCAGTCATTAACGCCATGCAGCGAGTACAGTGCATATTTAACAACGGGTTTGAATACGCGAGAAAAATACGTGTAATTGCAAACGAATTCAAGTAAATAGGTATCACGCATCATGCTTCATTCAAACATGCAAGGGAGCTCATCTAAATAGGCATCACGCATCACACATCAATTATACATGCAAACGGTTTCAATTGAGCAGGCATCGCCCATCACTCGTCAAGCATCACTTATGCATGTAAACGATTTCAAGTTAGCACACACCACACATCATGGCACATCTCACGTTTGCAGATTCGGCCATGATGAGCCCTGTACGTTAAGGTTTAGACTCCGTGCCCCTTTTAGAGCTAAGCCATCTACAGAGCACAGGGCCTCCAGACGGAAATAAGTAAATCCATTCTTATAAAAAGTCGGCGACCAAACCTTAACGTGCAGGGCTCACAATGGCCGATTATGCGGACTTGATGTATGCCTTGATGTGTAACATGTGCTGCTTAACATAGTTTATATGTATAAAGGATGCCTGATGCGTGATACGCCATGCCTGTTTTATTGAAATGGCTTGCATGAAAAATGGATGCGTGATTTGTTATACCCGTTCACTTGATTTCGTTTGTACATTTGAATGAAGCGTGATAGGTGATGCCTGTTTTCTTGAATTCGTTTACATGCACATGCATTTTTCTCGTAATCTAATTTTTAGTTAGAAATGAGTGTTTTTACAATTCAGTCAGTCACATCTTCGTCAGAGTCACATGTTTCGCTCGTGACTGGCACTTTACCCCATCATTGTCTAACAGCCTGCCAGATTTGCATTGGTGCTGTGCTCACCAACCACTTCCGAGAATTGAAATGCGGGATATTTAAAGTGCCTGTGTGATTTTTCAGATCACCGGCGTCCGACTGACGCGCTGTTCGCATGTCCACTGCTGTAACCATCTAAACACGGAGCGGTACCCTGGTGATGCGATGGGACTCGCAATGAAACTGCAGGCTTCGGTGGCGCGCTCATCCAGCTTCGATCATTGTATTTGCAGTGATCCAGCGGTGGGAGTTCAAGGAAGGCAAGGCCAGCCTCTACTTCGACGAGTTCACCACCACCGAGGTGTGCTTCAGCGTGCGCTTCACGCAGGCCGTGGCCGTGGAAAAACTGAAGCCCGCTGTCGTTCGAATCTACGACTACTACGCCGTGGAGGACAGATTCGAAGTGGTGCGTTTTGCCCAACCCCGACAAGTGCTTGACATCGAGCTGACCTCTTGTGTCCGGTAACAATGGACGCCGAGCAGCTGCACGGCTGCGCTTGCTTGACACTGCAACGCTCGTGACATTGGCAGCTGCCAGACTTGAAAAGCAACCCACCGCATTTGATTAGCATCGTTAACGTGCTACAATAATGATCACGTTCCATATTGCGACAGTCCGCTGTGAGATTGCGATGCTCATGGCATTGGACATGATTGACTCATAATTTTGTATTGATCCACAGTAGTGCTGGCTGACTTGCCTGCCTCATTTTCAGGAGTACGGGCCACCCTGCAAGACATAAGGTTACCCTTCACTCAAGCGCGTACGACGTATGATTTGATTCAAGAAGACGCGTGTGCTATGTTTGGTCGTCTGATGTAGGTGGGGCATAGTTTTTTATTTTTAAAAGTAACCTTTCCCCTAACTTGTGCTTTACTTAAAGCTACGTATTGGGATAATTTTTGCTCCTTCTGCAGTTTTGTCAACCATTATCATAAGGATTAAATTTAAAACGCGTTAAGAAAACACAAAGTGTTGCACACAATTCAACGTACGTTTTGACCAAACCCTCATACCGCATAACATACCCTCAAACCCTCGGAGACAACGGCAGTGAACAAGGCAATCCGCCGGCAACTCCGGCAGACAGCTGACAACAGCCTTGGGCGCAACACCCCGGATAAGTGCATTATATGATTTCGGGATAAATGCACATATGCCTTTTGGTGATGATGCCGCTTAAACCCTAACCGTAAGATTTTTAGGGGTATGTAGGATCAGTAGTCTGCACGGAGCTCCACATTCGGGGGTGCCTGGTGGTTTGGCCGAAATTCAGGTTTAAAACAGCACAAAATAAAAATAGGTTAATAATGCACATGTCGATGCCGACAAGTCTATGCCGGAAAACCATTGAGAAGCTCAAAGACCCTAAGAGGCAACCACCAGAGAGCAGTGAGCGATCGAGATGTAAGGCAGCCGGACCAATTGGACACGTTTTAGGGCCAGGTTTGTCACTATCGTGTGGGAGGAGAGCAATGATAAGCCTTGGGGGCTAAACCGAGAAAAACAAAATAGAAGGCAGTCTCTATTTCTAGGACGGTCACTGACCAAGTTTTTAATGGAAGATTGACTTGCAGACGACCGGCGTATCTTTATATTTCTAAATTGCAAGGATTAGGGAGGAAAGAGAGATTATGCCCGGATGATATTTCGTCGTACTGGTAGCTTTAGCGGGTTCGGAGTTGGACCCCATCATCACGAAGCTGTTGGTGGGGCGCAGTGCTACTTGTGGCGGTGGCCGTACGCCACATTATGCGTGAGCGTTTTATCCTGTTTTGCCGTGATGTCCAACTAGTTAGGCACAGCATGGCTGTGCACGTTTAGAATAAGAACATTAGGATAGAACTAGCTGAAAACAGCTGTTACGTAGTATATGGAAACGTAAAATTTTACAAAGCTGAGAAATTTTACTGTATTGTGCGCGTATTCCGGGCTTTTAGCGGGAAGTTACTTAAATGTCTTTCCGATTGTAGGTAGACCGTCTTTTTTACTGCCGTTGTCTCATACAAATGTTATTGTTAAATTACGTCTGATGTTTTCCATTCTGAATGCGTGTTTGATTTCACTATCCCAAAACTAATTGACCAAGTCTTTTAGCGGGATAGAAATTATGCCGAAAGCCACCTTCTAATAAAGACCACATGGTTGATAGATAGTCGCTGTGCTTGCTTGATTATAACAGATAATCGCTTTGCCTACTTTTTTATTATGTTAGATACTAGCAAGAAACCGGGTGGGGTTGGTTCGAGCATGTGAAGAGCTCGGGTGGCAGCTTAAGATAAAGTTTAGAAGCAGACACATCATGCAATCATATTTAGTTCTTGTACGACATGCAGTCAAACCTTCGTCCGGAATGCACGCTGTCGATGCCTTAAACCTGGGGTAAGGCATTGTGCTTGGCAAATATATTCATGCGGTGACTTGCCGTGGTTTGATGAATTACTCGACAGTGGCAGATCTAGAATTAAGTCAACTGAGGGGCCAAGCTTCACTGTGATACCCACTGCAACTTGGCTCCCTCACCCTCACAAATATTGGTGGTTTTCGGCCACTTTATTTTCTTTTTATGGGGCAAGTGTCTGACGCGCTCGTTTTTTACGCCTCAGATTCATGGATCGTACCATTCCAAGCCAAAAAGTTCTTCAAAATTTGGCGAAACAAGGGAAAGCTCACTGCTAAATGCTGTCAAAGTCTGGCACGACACGACCGGAATAGCGTAGGTATCGTTAAGTTACATACAGCGAAACCAGCAGAAAGTTGCATTCTGTACGTACCTGACTTTGAAGTCAATGGTGAGAAGCGAAAGCGAAACTTTGAAATGAATTCTAAACCGTAATGACCCAAGTGATATTGCATTATGCGAATGCTGAAGTGTTCGTTGAGGTAGCAGAACACGGAATTGCCAGTGAATTTCTTAGTTTTTTGACGCGATATCTTCCTGTAGCCTGTTTCCGAAAATAAAAAGATGCACGTTTTTGTCGTAAAACGCATAATCCAATTTATGAACACAAAACTAGTTGCGATTTACACTGATAAATTACGACACCTAAAACAAGTTTATTTCTTATATTAATGTCTATCAGGACATGGCTTGGGACCAGCGATGTCTAGCAACGAGATAAAAATATGCCATTATTGCAACAGTGCAGTTATAATCTATAACATCGCAATTGTACTAGCTGCTAAATACGATGCGAAACGTCGAAAGATTCGCTCATACTTTACCTACTTTAAAACACTGCTCAAGCGAGACTTTGGTACTGAAAATACATAGCCAGAAAGCATGGTAAAATAGAGAATTCAAGAAAAGTGAAATGCTTTATGGACAGATGTACATTCTAATGTTGGTTGAGAGACTGGCATAGCTTTGGTAAAGCTGTCAAAGGCACTCTCTTTTCTTTTCCCAGCCTATACCGTGCGTTCTTTCCTCAGCGGCCCGGCAGTCATGCTGTCCGCCTTTGTCTCTTAACCGCACCGTTCACTACAGCTCCCGAGGCTGGCTGGTTGGTGCTCCGGCCCGTGTCGCTGTACACCCCACACCCCACACCCCAGTCGCAGACGCTGCTGCTGCCTCGCGCCTATCGGCATCCCCCCCTTCCGACTTCGCTGCCGCCCCCTCTGCCGCCGTAGCTGCCGCCGGCGCTGCTCCCGCCTAGATGCGTGCGGTCACCTCGAGTCACCTAGATGCGTGCAGTCACCTCGAGTCAAACGGCCGTGCCGGACTCCCGTGAAATGTCCGTTTCTCACAGTTGTGTGTCTGCAGCTGGGTGATATATGTCACGATGTGATGGGTGTTCATTTGAATATCGTTTTGCGTAGGTTGAGTCTTTCCCTGGCTGCATGAAGTTCGGCTGCTCACCTTAAGTAAAAATGTATTGTAAGTACGTGAAAGTGACTTAAGTGCGTTGACAAACGCTATAAAAACTAACAACCTTAAATGTACAATCTAAGACAAGGATACACGCAAACAATCTTGCCTCAAGTTCGCAAAGCCAAGTGCTGACATACGACAGAGCTTATCATTGGCATGCCCCAATGCAATCAATGCAACCATTTGCGTGGTGAATTATGGTATTGACTTCAAGATTGTGAATCATTAAAGGCTGAATTGCTAAGGTGGCAAGCTTAAGCATATTTCAAGATTTTCAAAATGCATAAAAATATAGCACTCGTGTCAGGAAGAAGTGGTTAGCGCATCCGTTCTGACAAGAGACCTTGGTTGGGGCACGCCAAGAATAAAAGAGATGACTCATCAGCCTAATTAAGCATTTTACTTCATAAAAATATCAAAACGCATCTCACTCGAAGCAAAATTTTGTGGCTATAGCAACAGTTGTTATGCTACATTCAGCACCCACACATGTCCAGCCCTTAAACTTTTAAAATTAAGTATGGGCAGTATCATTGTAGGCGTGAATTTCGATACCTTGCATTTTTTACACGGCCCGGCCAGGACCGGTGGGGCTTCCCGGCATGGTGTGGAGCGGCAAGAAAGCCGGCCGTGGCCAGAAATTCCCCATCCGAACAAATAGAGGTCATAAGGACGAAAGAAGCCTGAGAACGCAACGCAAATCGGCAAAAATCTGCGCCTGGTCGCCCCGCAACAGCAGGAGAGGTGCTCGTAAACCAACCTGGCGGATAAGAGTGGCGCGCGAGAGCTGACCCGGCGGGGTCAGCTTTTGGGGGTAGTCGGGTGGTCTTCCAGATCTTCACCGGGCAGCGGTGATTTTCCGTCTCGGACCACCACTTCGAAGGGAGCATTTGCCGCCAGCCGGCCAGCCAAGACTGATGGACTCGTGGCGCCTGATTGGCGGTGCGAGAGAAAACAACGTAGCGAATCTCTGCCGGAGTCTCCGAGGCGAAAGGGACGAGTGCCGTGCATCACGGGCCGACAGCCGTGCATCGAGAACTGGACGGCCCCGACGCTGATCACCTACCGAAGACCTCTAGCTCTGCGGGCAACGGGACGCCGACGACAGCACGCACGATGTGAGTGCCTGGGCTATCGTCCCCGTCCCAACCGGACCATGGATGGTTGTACGCTCTGAAGATGTCCCTTGGTCCTCCCCCACCGGACGGGAGGAGCCACATCAACCTCTTCCCTCCTGTGCAATTAGGGGGAGGGGAAAGGGCACTGGCCATGTGACGATCCCGGCTTGGCACTGCGTCTCGGGACGAGAGGTGAGATGGCCCTGTGGCCCCATGATTAAAGGGGATGTTCCATATTTGAAGGTTTTGAAACAAGCATCAGATATGATGAAATAAGCTCACTTATATCAACTGGTTGGAACATGTATATAATCTTGTTAAAATAATATTTTTTCTTTGGTGTAAAGGGTCTTTCTCAATTAATATACCAGGTTTTATGATTCAGCCAACTGAAATGTATCGAAATCCTCAAATGGCCACAAATGGTCAAGCGGCTGTGATCAGATAGAACCGGATCGCCGATCGCGGATAGACCTGACGTGATCTGCTGGTGGGACGCCGCAGGCACAATTCAGATTTCGCCCAAATCCAGCATCCAGAATCATGTGTTGGTGGATCTACCAATGAACGATCTTCAGAGCACACACGAGCCGAAGTCACCACAAAAACATAATCGGAGTTCGTACTTACCAACTCTCCAAATTGTGCTCTGCAAATGACAGCAAAGTTTTCAGGCATTTGGAGCAGGACCGAAAAGCTCAGGAAAGCTAACTCAAAAACGGCAGCATTACACGACAGCCGAGGTTTTTACTGAAATGCCGGTTGAC